TTGTAGGTGGACATGATGCTATGCTAGGAGCATGGCCTTGGCAAATTAGTCTTCAGGTTTATGCAATTGGTGTAGGATATGTCCATGTATGTGGTGGATCTTTAATTAATACAATCATAGTGTTGACAGCAGCCCACTGCATTAAAATATCAGAGTATGTACCTTTCCATTCTAATACTTTTTCTTCAATTGGGTGTAATAAATCTACTGACCAAAGAAGTACTGACCAAATATATAATTATATATCAAAAATTGAGATTTAACATGCCTTTCCTAACTTAAATAATACTTTGCTGTTCTTTGTGTTTTGTCTTATTTCCCAACATGTTCAAACAACATCCAACATTTATGTTACAATTAGTTACCATCTTACGAGTCCCAAATGTTAAAGGATCTCATTGTATTCTCATAAAGAGTATCAGTTCTTTAAACATTACAGATGGTTCTCTAGTAATTCTTCATGAAATATTTATGGTTATTTAATTTGTTCTTTGTTTATCTTTGAGAGCCTAGAAATAATTTATCCTCGTTGAAATACTTGAGAGGAAAACCCCCCCCTTTATATCTTATTCCCCTTTTTTAATAATGGCAGGGCTAGTATCTTGAAATATAACACTTGATTTCCATTTCAGTTTATCTTTCTTAGTCCATGAGTTTTTTAATGAATTTTCTTTTTCCACCTGATTTTTTTACAAATATATTATCTCTTGGCTTTTGCAGTTGACTGAACCTAAGAGAAGAGTCTCTATTGACACATTGCATATGAAAGCTTTAAATCTGATCATTTAAGTTTTAAATATCCAGTTAAATCAGCCCTTTCTGCATTTCCCCTGATTCTTTGCCAATTCAGGGGTTACCTTTCTTAAACATCTTTTTACTGTTAATATGGCCAAAGTCAGATATTAATAAAACATAAATGACAAAAATTATCAAGAAAGGTGGGCTGTGAGAAAAGCAATAGGCTCGCCATGCTGTCTTCTCCACTCACTTCCCCGCCATTGTTTTCCAAATCGGATGGATGAATTGATACATACCTACATACGTACATTATTTTTCAACTAGCTGAAGGATGCAAGGGTAACACTTTCAGCATTGGAGAATCATAGAATTGGAAGGACTTTTGGGGTCACCTAAACCAAGCCCCCACTGAGTGCAAAAGCCACTACTGTAGACTGTCTTTGGCGGATAATCATCCGGCTTCTGTTTGAAGCTCTCTAAAAAAGAGATCTTTTCCCTGCTAACCTCAGCTTATCTTTCTTCTGGGTACCTAGGCATCTTGCATTTTGGTGCAGCCAACTTTATTAAATTAGACTTCAAAGACACTTTTGATCTTAAAAATGTATTACAGGTTGTTCTTTACTTTGCAACATATCAGCCTATAATTAAACATTTAAAAGATCAGAAAGATCACTATTTTGGGAACTAGCATTACTTGTAAAATACCTGTGACACTTACAGAAACTGATTAATTTTGGTCTAGTGCTGTATTAATGATTTGATTAGTTTCAATACAGAAACTGAATAAAATTGAAACTTTACTGTAGTAAAATACAGAAAATTTTAAGAAGTTTGCAAGAGTGATGCACTTACTTGGAGACTTTAAAAAGGGCTTAGATTGGAAAATGCTTTCATTGGCTATAAGTAATGCTGAGTATATGCTACCACCAGAGAGACATATATAGATTTCCTATAAGCATCTAAGCAGTTATTGTGGGAAGCAGGATACTTAATTGGGTGGAGTGATAGTTGAGAAAAAGAATATTTTTTTATTGGTAATTCTGTTATTTTCTGCAGTGATCCTTGTTTTAGCCACATAATCCAATTTTAATCAAGATCTATACTTAGTGATTTATTGTTTACTGAGAAGGGAATAAAAATGATTTCCATGTCATAGAAGTTATAAAATAGCAATGTAATAATAATAATCCATATAAAAGTTTTGTTCTGTCCTAGGAACCCAGCCCTTTGGAGGGTTGTACTTGGCTTGCATAATCTTAATGATAATTCTCATACAATAAAACGTCGGATTAAAGCTATCAATATACATCCTAATTATATGGCAGACACATATGACAATGATATTGCCTTGATAACACTAGTCAGATCTATCAGATTCAGTGATTATGCTCGTCCAATCTGCTTACCTGTCACAAATCTTTTGACAAATCGACAGTATCCATGTTACATATCTGGATGGGGTAAAACAAAGGAAAAAGGTATTTTTCTATTATTATTTCTGTGGCATTTATATAGAGACAATGTACAAACATCAGATTAAAAATTACTGTGCAACAAAAACAATTAAAACTTAACAACTGTCAGGGGAAAAACTTGTTAAAACGAGACAACACACCATAAACATCTCACTTTAGGATCCAGAGGTTTATTGAAATTTAGAACACATAGCAATTACATACCAAAACCCATTGCAATGAGGACCAAATGCACAAGCTGTCAGTGAGTGATGGATAGTGAGCAATTGGCCCAACTCCTTTTCAGTGCCACTCTTTTATACCTTAAAACCACAAACATTTTACAACAGTAATCAGTTATCTTGCAGTAACACTACTTTCAGTTCTTGTTCCAACCACAGCTTTTCCACATAACGCTTTGTTACACGTGTCATTGCACAAATCACATACTAGTACAAAAACAGTTCCTTAATTCTCAGACATTCAAGTTTCTGTGTTCTAAATATATAAAGAAATATGCAAGTTTGCAAAAGTGCAGTGTTGTGCAAAAAGCCACAGCTCTGATTACAAATATTACTACAGTAGGCAGAAGGCCTCAACTAAATCAATACACTTGATAATATTATTCATCAAGGAGGCTTTTAGCAGATAACAATAACTTTCAATAAAATTATTTTTCTCACACAACCATACAATAGAAGTAAGCATATGTCACTGTATTTGTCATAGTTCTTTTGGTTCTCTTTTAAAGTGTTAAGAATATTACGTTTCTGGCAAACGTTTTGCTGTTACTATTCACTATTCATGGCATTTCACATGTTTATAAGAAAACTAGGCTTAATTTATACTTAAGGGAATGCTGAAAATCTTGGATAGTGAAATTAGGTTTTTACAAATATAGGGCACAGAAAGGCTATTTTTATTTTGGCACTGGGCCTCTATATCTGAGAAGTCTTGGATCTGGATTTATATGAAAGAAGCTAAACATGTAGAAGCAATTATTTTCATCCTCCCTTCCCCCAAATGTTGAACAAGGTAACCTTCAGTCAGTGGTGGGATTCAAATATGTGAACAACCGGTTCTCTGTGCGGATGCCGCTTCCGGAAGTCCATTCTGGGCCTGAGCAACAAAAAATTAGCTACCGGTTCTGCCGAAGTGGTGCGAACTGGCTGAATCCCACCACTGCCTTCAGTACAGAGAAAGGGCAGAAAGGAGCTCTATTAACAGCAGATTGTATCTGCCTTTGCCTGAACTAAAAAGTCCCCTTCAATTTAAGTTTTAACTCCTGTGACTTACAATCATGCAGCTTTCTTTGCAGCAGTAGAGCAGTAGTTTGCCATTGCCTGTTTTTTAGGCCAGCACTATATGTACTACTGGTAGTCCTTGGTTAATTTGTTTAGCAACTGGTTGAAGTTGAAGTTAAAATGGCACTGAACAAGTGATAATTACAACTGGTTCTAAAGTTTCAGGCTGTCCCAGCACCCCCATAGTCATGTGATTGAAATCTGGATGTTTGGCAACTGGCTTGCACTTAAGAGGGTTGCAGCTGTTCACCTATCATTATCTCTTCTACCCAGCATCAGCCAGTTACATGTCTGGCAGCTTGCTTACAAGCTGTCTGGGTCTTATACCTTCCTGCTAGCTTCCCCACTAACTGGTTGTTGGAAGCTGGCAGGAAATTACAAGGAGTCAAGATTACATATTGACTTAATGATCCATGATCCTGGCTTAACAGCTGCAAGAGGAACTTGTCTCTAAATGATGTGGTCATGTGCTGTCACACTTTACAACAGGATTGCTTAGTGATGGAAATTCTGGGCCCAATTGCCTTTGTAATGTCAAAACTATACTATCTGTATACCAAACTGGCTCTCATTAGGTTAACTAGTGCTGCCATCTACTCTAGTTGTCTGTGAATTACAGTTTACCTAATTCAGTGTCCTCTTGTACAGGATTTTGGAATAGATAACATAGAGGAAGCATCAGCAAATGACAGCATATGGATCACAATGTCTAAGCTCAGAAGCTAAAGAAGATACCCAAATGGGAGATTTTCAAAGACTAGTACTTGTGCTATAGGCTAGTGTGGGAAATCAAAAGATGTCTTAAGAAGAAGGAAGCAGGAAACCACTTTTGTACTGTTGCCAAGAAAATTGTGTGGACATCAGAAATCAAACTCAACTTAAAGGCTTTACATAGACATGGTGAAGTTAGTTGCATGAACTTGCATTGAAACCAAATTGATATCCTAATTGTACTCTTAAAATATGTTAAGTTTTCTAGGCTCTGAGCTCTGAAAGATACAGTAGCTCTTTCCTTTCAGTTCATTATAGTGATCAGTAGCAGCTCTTTTTACTGTCACTTTTGGCTGTCCAGACTACATTTAGTTCTGTTCCTGACCTTACTAATTAGCTTTGAGCAGCCTGAACAGATTTCTTATCCACAAAGCATTTGCTTTTTTAATCTTACAAACTAAAAAGACTGCCTATTTAGAATGCTGATGAATCTGGCTACTTGTACTTTCCAGCATTTGAAACTAAAAAACAACCATCAAAAGATTTCACTAGGCAGGGTTTAGCCTGCTAAAGATTAAACATAAATACCTTCAGCACCAAGAACAGCACACTTCATCATTATAATTTGCAGCATTTCTGTTAAAATGACAATGAAGCAAATGTAATATGATGTAGCTAAATTAATGATTCTAAACATTTTATTTCATTACACTCATTCCCCTTAGTTTTCCATTTCATAACTTCTCCCCATCCCATCAGGCATTCATTCTGCAACAAATAAACATACTTAGTCATAATTAGCCTACTTTTGTTAACTCTATCAACCCAACTTAATCTTTCTCAGTATAATTTGTCTGGCTTTTGTAGAGTTTATTGACCCATATGCTGAAAGTTGTTTGGTCCTCAACTTTGAGAGGGCAAATAACACTGAAACTGTAACTTATAAAAAATCATCACCACACATATAAAACTGCCTCTGAAATTTCAGAAATATTTTAATAAAAAATGCCAAAATAGTGGAAATAAGAGTTTCACCAATTTAGCAGACTCCAGAGTTTTTAAACTTTTTTTTAAAATTTTAAAGTTTTTAAAACTTTAAAAAAATTTTAAACTTCAAGGGGCAATCAGTTTGAAGGAATACTAGTATACACTCTTAGTTTGATTCAAAGATTTTGATAGAGCTATTACTTTACAATATTCAAAATTTTGGTTTATTTTTCTTCATCTATCAGAAGAAAGAATTACCTTGAGAAATCCTTGAAATTAAAGTGATATTTTCTTCATCAGGATTACATGAAATAAATCCGAGTATAATTTAAGATTCATTGCATATAATAGCTAGTTAATATTGTCTTAATTATCTTACTGATCCACCCTTTAGACAACNTATATATCACTGTGTTGGGTATGTTCACTACCTTGATTTTTTTTAAAAAAAATAATAAAGGCAGGAGACAAATAAATGAATAAACATACTTAATGCCATAATAACTACAAAAATAACATCTTTTTAAAATCTAGTCTAAAGCACTGGGGAGTAATTTGGCCCTGATTTTATTGATTCCTGTTTCATCCTTGTTGAACTCAGCCATGCTGACTGTACAAATAAGAATGAGCACAAAAATGAATTCATAAAAATCAATCCTACACCATTACAAACTAACCACAAAAGGACAATTAAGCCTTTGAGATGTAACAATTAATGAGAATAGAAATAAAATAATAAAAGGAACAAAAATCTCAACAGCACTTACTGTTCTGTATAATCTTGATTCTAAGTTGGATGCCAAATAAAATTAGACACAACTCCAAAATACTAGAATGAATCTTGAAGATTATTTTGATCAGCAGTATACTTTTTGGAATGTTAAGTATAATGTAAGCTTGGTAGAATATATCAGAAAAGCTTAGTTGTCTTAAGTAATGACTGATTTGTTTCACAATGTCATGATATGTTATATGTTTTTACAGGTGAAAACAACTTAATATTACAAGAAGCTCAAGTAGATATGATTCCACAGAATTTGTGTAATAAACCCAGCTGGTATGCTGGAACAATTACATTGAATATGTTCTGTGCTGGCTTTCCAGCTGGAGGTATTGATAGCTGCCAGGTAAAAAGAATTTTAGTTTAGATTATGTTAGCAAAGCTTGTTGCGCAGGTGCTTGGACAATATATTTTAATTACTCTTTATTACATATTATTACAATTTACCTATAGCCTGCTATTTCTTTACTGCATATTTCTTTACTATCTACAGTAGGCTCCTGATTTGAAGCAGATTTTCTGACAGTCATTTTCTCAAAGAGTTCAGATCAGTTTCAGAAGGGAAACAGATCTTGCCCTCATGCTAGCAATCTAAAAAAATATACAAATGAAGGGAAGATGAGACCGATGAATTATTCAAAGTGGAAAGAATATGCTAGTGTTTATACACAGCTCAGGAAGACTATACTTTAATTTTTGGAGTTCTTCCTTGAATAGTAGTTTGTGATACTTATTCCTTTGGCTAATGGATGGGGCCAAAATTACTTTTGTTGATGAATGGGATCAGAATAAACTGCCGTTCTGTTTTTCTGTCCCAGGAAAGAACCACTGAATTCTTTATGCGATAAAGTGGCCAAGCAATTTCCCAGCTCTCATTCTTTTCCAATCTGAGGTAAATATCTAAGTTGGGACCCCTCCAACTATAATGGAGACCTATGAATAAAATTACCTGGATATATCCAGAGTACCCACAAAAGAAATGTTTTTCTGGAAGTGCAGTATTCAGCAGAGATATGCTACAGTCAAAGCCTAGTTTTTTTAAAAAAATAATTAGGAATTATAATCATGGTTATTTTTCTTCCACCTATGCTATATTCTACAGTTCTTACAGTACAGAATTGAAAAATGAGAATAATTCTCCCCTCAGGAAAAATGTAAAAGACAATTAACTCAGCCAATTGACTTGCAAAAAAAAAAATGAAGGCACTGAGAAGTCACTTTCATATTATGCCAAGAAAATACATGGATGTGTCCATGTAAGTCAGAGGTTCCCAACCGGGGGTGTGAGACAATATTCCAGGGGATGCCAAAACTTGGATTTAGAAGTTTCAAATATAGTGTATACGCATAATTTGTTATTTAAAACTTTTGTAAGGGGTGCAAGAATATATCAGAAGTGTTCTAGGGGTGTGGGAGCCACTGATGTAAGTCATCAGGGATGGATGAATTAAAAGTGAATTGATATAAGAAGAGGACTATCCTGAAAGATTAGTAAAGTCAAAATGTTATTCAAAACTTCTGAAAAATCCTGAATTTTCTGAGTCTACTATATTGTTACAATTTCATTTTTTCAGCATTATCAATTATTGAAAAATGAACCTAGAAATTGACTTAATATCTTAACATAACTTGCTTACCTCCCAGGATATAATTTGCTTTTTCAAGATCAATCAAATAAACCCCAACTTTGCACTATGTGAAACAATAGTTATGGTTTGACTTAATCAATTCCTTAAAAATTGCTGCTTTTACAGAATAATAGCAAACTCTATAGCAAAATTAGAATTTATTTTGTTTCTGTTCTGTGTATTTGGACTACTTACCTGTCTCCAAAATAGACAATTTGAAAATAAAGGATAAGGTGATTTGTCTTCATTAGCCACGTATAAAATGCTTTCTTATGATAGCTAAAACTGGAGGATACTCTTAGATACATAGCTTGATTTTGGGGCAAGCCTATTGAGCAGGTAGTTGATTTTCCAAGAAATTATATCTAATTGGCCTACTTTGTGTATTACCAAACTAGAGTAAGATTGTTTAGGTTTTCCAGATTTATTTTTCCTAGAAACTTTTCTTTTTTTCCTAGTATTTTCTTTTGACAATTGATATCTGTTGCTTCCTAAAAATTAAAAATATATTAAAACATATTATTGGCTTTTCCTGTTCCAGGGAGACAGTGGTGGTCCTCTGACATGCTACCTTCCAACCACTACAAAGTTTTATTTGATAGGAATTACCAGCTTTGGCTATGGCTGTGGTCGCCCAAGACATCCAGGAGTTTATGTTAAGACAATTAATTATATAAGTTGGATAAACAATTATTTACAGAGTAAAATTGTAACTGTGGAACTTCATTGCCTCCTGATCTTTTTAATGGTGTGGTGGACAGTCTTCCATATTCTGTAAAATGGCAGTTTCTTTCCATTGTATGCAGTAAATTTCTATTGCTCTTTAAATGTATTTGTTTTTTCTTGGGAATAGTACCATTATCAAAATTTGCTTTTTAAAAATGCCCATACAATTTAAATCTTCCTTCCATCATATTTACATTCAAATAATGGTCTATAAGTTTAATATCTTTCCAAACACACTAAAATATGAAAATGAAGTCAGTTCTTAAACATTATAGCAATCATATACATGATTAGTTAATTTTAAACAAATCTACCCTAAATTTATATTTTTCACTGTGAAGGATAAATTATGTTTATTAAAAGATACCAGATAATTAAGAGTATTTTCAAATAAAGTATTTTGAAGTTATTTGGATGCTCCATTGTATTATTATTTTTTTAAACCCTATAGAGTATTTCTTTGGAAAAAATCATGAAGATGTAAAAAGTGAATTTTTTTAGACATGAATCTCCCACAAACATATAATGATTTTAGCTTTGGATTTGAAATATGAAAAAGTGTGATCAATAACAACTGCTGGGTGTTTATTCCGCAAGATAAACTTTCTATATGTCCTAGCAACTGTATAAATGACTCATATATATGCATTAAAATATAGATGTTTTCTATACCAAAAAAATCCCTCTTTGAGGCTGATAGGTGATTTTAAAAAATGAAATATAAATAATAAATATGCATAAGTGAATAAAATGGGTGCAACCTAGAGTCTTAAATAAACAGTCTTCTTGAGTGTGGCAATTTAATTTAATTTAATTAAAAACAAACTTGCTGATATTGGAATTATCAACAATTCTCCAAATAATTGAAATGGTACTTATTATTTATTTATTTATTTATTATTTATATTTTTACCCCGCCCTTCTCCCTGCGGACTCAGGGCGGCTTACAGCCTTTTAAAACAAATACATAAATACAGAAAATACTAAAGTTAAAATGTTGATTAAAATGAAATATTATTAGGCCTTTGTTATTTTTAAAAATTATTATAAAACCAAGCTAAAAACCCTTAGGCCAGNAAAAAATAATAAAGGCAGGAGACAAATAAATGAATAAACATACTTAATGCCATAATGCCAAGTATGTGGTATGGAGATCACATACCACAGACATCATGGGAAGGGACAAGAAGACAGCTCTCTTAAATGTATACCAAGCAAGTTAATGCAGGGTTGTGATCTTAACCTGACATAACACTTTTGATACTCCGTCCCAAAAATGGGACACATATAGGAGAAACATGAATGTATAGGAGGGTAAACAAATGAGAAGACTGAGTAAAGGGAGAAAGAGTGAAAAACTAATAATCCAAAGTGATAGAATGTGAAAATATTTCAATCACACTTTACTAGCACGTTTTAAGGCACATTTTGATTTTGTCAATATATTGCATGTTATGTGCCTTCTAGCTGGTGGGGTATAGGCAAAAGTATCTTGGCTTGCAGATTAGGTTTTGGACCTCTACTAGTTTGCAAAGAACAATGTGAGCATGCTTGGATAAAATTGGAGTGTCTGTGGGCTCAAGCATTCCTTTCCTGTTAATATTAACTGGAAACTCTTACTTAAGGAAGAAAAATAGTGAAACACTGTCCTTTGTCTACCCTTGTAGGTAATTCAAAAGAATATCATAATTGAAAGTAGCTATGGTTAAGAGTAAGCGTCTGTTCACTTTGTTATATGATATGTATTAAATATGAGAGAAAAATAAGTTGAATGCAGTAAATGTACCACAATGCACTCATAGTCATTGCCGATGTGACTATATGCCGAGGTGCACGGAACATTGTTAACCTTCCCACTGAAATGCTACCTATTTATCTACTTGCATTTGCATGTTTTCAAGCTTCAAAGTCCAACCATTTTATCTATGCCTAACATCAATAGCTCATTACAGTCAGTTAAATATAAAAACCTTCTGGTCATTATCAGAGCCTGGCTCAATGTGATCTAAAAATAACTTGCAGGATCTTTCCATTAGAAGAGATTACTCACTATCAATAGCCTGTCAGAGCAATTTCAAATCACAAATCTTAGTCTGCCATTTGTTACCTCGAATGTTAGGGTTCATTATCAATGTTTTAAAAGGTGATATTAACATTTTTAACATTGCAGTCTAGGCCTCTTTACTAATTTCAGAAAAACCTGTTCCCTTTCTTCTTAGCCAAGGCAGTTTCTTTGGTGTAGGAGAACTTGTCTTTTCAGCAATAAACAATAGTATATTCTCAAAGTCCTTGAACACACAAGTTTTAAGAAAGTACACATCCAGTTGAGAAAGAAAGTAATGCAATCCATATATTTGCCACTAGTGGAATGTAATCTAGATCAATGTTTTTATTGTTCAAGTGTCACACATAATCAATGTTTTTCATTGTTTTATTGCTTGCTTTCTGAAATATCACATATACTGAATGTATTATTTCTTCCTGTACCTTATACAAACATTTGACTCTCTTCAATAAATGCTTTTTGTTTTATCTTAGCGTTTTTTATTTTTGGGTAGGCAAAGAAGCTCTTTTGCAACAGTAAATGTTTCTAAAATTCAGGGATCAGACCAAAGTCGGAGTGCCAGAATTTCGTAGCAACACATGGTGTAACATTTTTGTGTCATACCATTCAAACAACGAGTATGTTTTGCATCCAAAGGATCGTGATTTGCATGGGAGTCGATCCCTTCAGCCCATGCTTGCTGGGAAATATACTTTGAGCTGGGGGGGGGGAGGGGAAACGGAACGGAATGAGTTTTGCTGCCTCTTATATATGATTCTAATATATTTTCTCCTGATAATGCATTGGCAATATTTCTTCTTTCTCTCCTATGATGACCGTAACCAATTCAAGTCATTGCTGCACCATGAAGTGGCACGTTCCCGTTAATCCGACATCGAAGAGCAGCCTGATGGTTTAAGAATGTTTTTATTTTCTATTTAGTTATTAAATTTGTTTTATTCATGTATTAAATTTGTTTGCAGCCCATCTGTCCATAAGGTGGCTCTGCGCCCCCCATTACTTTGAAAGATTCTGCCAGTCAGAATCAGAATAGCCAAGGGGTCCGTTATGGTAGCGAAGAGGGCCTTCACACACACACACACACACCCCACCCCGATTCAGCCAGCGGTTATTTCAATCGGGCGGTTCGGTGGGCGGTTGAAGGCAAGACGTCGCCTTCCCCCTCGATTTGCACCAGGGGACAGCCTTGGCGAGGGACGCCCCGCGAGGCTGACGAGAAAAACCGTCGCTCGCGCGCCCTGTCACCTGATCCTCGACGGCCCTCGCCTGCCATTTTGCTTCGTAGACGGACGATGAGCCGCAACTTTTCCGCCGCCGCCGCCTTTTCCTTTTGGGCTTTGCTTGTGCGGTTCAGGGAAGCCGCGCCCAAAGCCCTGTCCTCCCTGAATCTTACCGACGGTGAGCTTGGCCTCGCTCCGTCCTCGCAGGGCGTCGAGCTCGGCCCTTGATCGCCATCGTGCTGCTTCGGACGGGATAGCCTAACAGATCGAGCTTGAGGGGAAAAGCCGTCAGCGGAGCGCGCGGGAATCCTTCGCCGAGGGAACGCGAGGGCCGAGGCCGTCGTCGGAAACGTCTCCTCCCGAAAAGGAGGAGTCCGCCGAGCTACCCTGCTGCCATTTATGCAACAGTGGTGGCTGTCGAAAGGCCCACCACGATTGCATAAATGGGGGCGCCGCAGGCGTTTGCTCTCGGGAGGAAAAATAATTGGGGGCTACTACAACTTTGTCTGTGCAAAGTTGTGTTCTGACAGTACGAGGGTTTCGTTCCCTACGTCGATCTAGGTTGTGGACGTGTGATTCTCTCCCTCTTCTTTACTTTTGAAATGAGCGAAGGAAATACAGTTTACCCCGGGCGTGGCTGCTGCCGTTTCCTCAATTGTCGATACCATTTCATTGAGATCCAGTCCCGAATATATGGGCCCAACAGTTTTCCCAATTATTTTCTGTACCTCTCGGCCCGTAAATTTATTGTAGGTACTCCTGTGTAGGGAATTTTGAGAAGCCTCTGGCCGCATTCAATTTGTTAACTCTCAGCTTGAAGGACGCTGATTCATAATTACTTTGGATTTATCTCTTCTGATCATTACAGTTGTGTTTATTATCAAAGAAGGCTAGCATTGTTGCTAGTATTGTAGATTTGACTTTTCACATTAATTAGAGCTGTTGAAAGCAGCTTGGGATGTCCGTAGCAATTCTAAATAAAAGCGCTTTTGCCTGCTGTATAATATATAAAGACAGAATATAAATAAATTAAAATACTCTTATGAGGAGTTTATAAATATTTCAGATTGCAATTCTCTTGGCAAAATTATTCAGAAATGGTTTGCCATTGCCTTATTAGCTGAGGAAAAGTGGTTGTTACTGTGCTCAAGATCAATTAAAATTCACAATTTCCCAGTTTCTAGCCTGATGCCTTAACTGTTCCACCTAAGTGGTTCCCATTCCATTGTTGCTAGATACTATTTTGTAAGCCAAAATGAAAATAATAAACCAATATGGTTGAACTGGGAAGATTTGGAATCAAAACTTCTGATTTACCAATTTCACTGGATAACTTTGTGCAAATTTCTTAGCCTAACAAAAATTTTGTAACAATATTACAAGGAAAGGGGGAATTCATATCAATTATTGTATTCTGGTCACAGTGTAGGAATTGTATCATGAGATTAAGCTCAGTTACTTTTACAGCTTGTTTTACTAAGGCATCAGTTGGGAACTGCCTGTGAGTTCAGAATTAGGCATTTAAGCACCTGCACATATTTTGGATTACAACTCCAAATCTCTTTACAGCTGATCCGATTGACTGTAGCAGATCAAAGTATTAGCCAAACTTGTCTGTTGAGTTTACTGCTGCTTCAGTTCAAATGACTAAGTTGGACCAGGGGCCCCAACCCCTGGTCAGTGGACCAGTACCGGGCCGCAGTATGCCAGCAACTGGGCCGCACAAACAAGCAAAGACCCATCCATGAGATGCAGGCAGCACACAAAACCACGCATCCTCCAGTCCACGGAAAAACCTCTCTCCACGGAACCGGTCCCTGGTGCCCAAAAGGTTGGGGGCCTCTGAGTTGGACAACTCTTCTAATAATGAAAGCTAGTGGTATTTTAAAATCATTAATCTCCTAACAGTATTTAGTCCAGTAACAGCAAATATTTCTTATCCAGATAAGTTTTTAAAAGGCTCTTTGGTTATTACTTTGTGTATATTGTTGAATGTTGGTGTTGATTTTTAGCTTTTTTACAGTAATTGAAAATTAACAATATAACTGCATTTTGATTTCCAGGATGTGGAGCAAGGCCTGCTATAGTTAACATAACAGCAGAGACTCAAATTGTAGGTGGACATATTGCTCAGCTTGGAGCATGGCCATGGCAAGTTAGTCTTCAGATTTATCGTGTTCGATCAGGTCGATATCGGCATGTATGTGGCGGATCTTTAATTAATAACAACTCGGTACTGACAGTAGCACGTTGCATTAAGAAATGGGTGTATGTATATTTAATTTCTAAATCTTTTTTATTCAGTTTGAAGATTTTAAACAAATGATTGAATTTTGAAATATGTGGAAGGAGAGATTCAGAAAAAGTGTTTTAATATACATTTAGCCTTAACAACACTTGTTCAAATCTTTTTATCAAACTAGATAAAATAAAAAAGACTAGATGGTATAGGGTTTCCAGCTTGAGCAGGGGTTTGGACTCAAAGATCTCCAAGGTCCCTTCCAACTCTGTTATTCTGTTAGATTCAGCAGCTTTTAATGCATGTAGAAAATACTTTAGGAGAGGACAACAGCTAAAGAATTCCTTTATCTCTTTCCTTGATAGTTAAAATCCTGTTCACCAGTTTGTCACTTGGCAGAAAAGTAAGCTAGGATGAAATTTCCGTTGTTAGGGTTTGTTAGGGTTAGCTGTTAATTGCTATCCTTCCAAAGATAGGATGCCACCAAGTGGTGATGTCTTTATATAATATGAGTTAAATAATGAGTTTGGTGTATTCCTATAGCATTGTTTCTCTTCCTTCCCACCAAATATCAGAGGCTTGTGGTAGAACATCTGCCAATCCCCAGCCCTTAAATGTGCTGGGGCTTGGGTTACTATATCACCATCTTTCAAGGTTCACTCAAAGCTTTTCACAGGTTGCAGCCATGGTTAGAATGCAGTATTGCAAGCTCATTCTGCCCACAGCCAGGGGTTTGATCCTGACCAGTTCAAGGTTAACTTAGCCTTCCATCCTTGCGTGGTCTGTAAAATAAGGAGGCAGATTGTTGGGGGCAATATGCTGATGTAAACAGCTCAGAGAGTGCTATAAAGCAGGGCTTTTCAACCAGTGGTACGGGTACCACCTGTGGTACATTGGCACTTGGCAGGTGGTACGCGACCATCCCAGAAAAGTTGTAGTGGGGGAGGGGATTGAGCTGAACCGGTGGCAGCACCGGACAAGCCTGAGTGAGAGATGGCTGGAGCTGCAAGGCTGTCAGGGCTCAGCGGAAGCGCCAGGATCAGCGCTTCTTCGGGGCTGTCAGGGCTCAGTGGAAGCATCAGGATCAGTGCCAGGCTCCAGCTGGAGCTCGGCACTGATCCTGGCGCTTCTGAGCCCAGAAGAAGCACCGATCAGCTGGAATGTTGCAGCATCTCCAGGGTTTTGTGATTTACATTCAGATGCTTGGCAACTGATTCATATTTATGATGGTCACAGTGTCCCAGTGACCAAAACCTGCTGCAACCACCCAGCAGACGGGGGGAATAAAAACCAAACACCCCCCCCCCCGCTGCCAATCCTCAACAGAAATGCTCACAACAATGAAAACCTTGGACAGGAGGAAGAGCGCTGCCGGGTGGGCAGGTAGGTGTCTTGCTCGGCTGTGGCTGTGGGGCACTTTTTTCAGTGCCATTGTAACTTCGAACAGTCACTAAGCGAACTGTTGTTCATTCTGTGATTAAGTGCAAGTGAGGAAAGGCCATGAGTAAATGGGGAATATAGGAGATTGCAAATATTATTTCTGCTCCTTTAAGGTAGGGACAAATAAAACACATTTTATATCTGGAAATTTGGAATGCTTTGATCTTTATTTCTGAGTTCAGTAGAAAAATAGAACTTCTTGGTTGTTTCTAAAGTACTGAAGTAGTTTGAGGTCTTAAATTCTCTAGGAAATTATTTTGCTTTCTTTCCTGTCCCATATTTTTCAACAGCACCTTAAAAGGAAGTGTAAAAAGAAGAAAATTTGTCTTTGGAATTTTTGGCTTTCAAACCATGACAATTAAATCCACATCTTCACATACTTAAAAATGTTTCCCTAAACATTACTTTTTTCCTAATCTATCCGGGGAAGTAAGATGTTTCCAAGCACCATTTACCAATTTTCCACTTACTGGGAATAAGAGGAATTGTAAGCCACCCAGAATCATTTACTAAGATGGGCAGTTATAAAATCATATAAATAAATAGAAATTAATAAACCAGTTGTATTAGCTGTGACTTGTATTATCAAAATATCATCCTGCTTACATTCTACAGGTGGTCCTCATTTAAGAATAACTGGTGCAGCACTATTCCAGTTAAGATCTGAATAAATGATAGTCAATAACTGGTCCTCATATTTATGATAGTCACAATATACTCATGGTCATGTGATGGTGATCCAGGCGCTCAGTGATTGGTTTAAAGTTATGAAGAGAACTTTAGAATTCGGTGTCATAAGTATCTATTCATTTTTGGCTATCACAAAGCTGTGGCTGTTGAAAAGATAGGTAGCATGCATCCTGCCATCATGCATCAGTCTAAAGGTAATCTAAATTGTTTAACATCACTCTTAAGACCCATATTAGATATCACCCTTCACAAAAGCAAAAAAAGCAACCTTTAAGGGCTCCAATTATTTAATTATTTGTTTCTGTAAAAATATTATATTCCTATGCCCACACAAACATCAGCAATATAAACTTTAGAAAAAAATCAGAATATTTATCCTATGAAGTATATTATACATAGTCCCACTTAGGAATAGGAAGTCCCTGTGTGAGTCCTTCTCACCTGAATAAAAAATGTACATTAATTTTTTTGTTAGATAAACTGCTTTTTTGTTATAAGACCAGAGGAGCCAAGAAGACATTTCCTAGGACAATATTAGTTCTACTGCTTTAAAATGTACCAAATGATTGATTAAATTATACTTAGAAACAGATAATGAAAATACCATGTGTCTGTGAAAAGTTTAAAGTTCATCACTATGTGACTCAGCTGCTCATTGATTTCATAATTGACAAGCCACTGAAAAGATGATTTTAAAATTAAAATGGCATTGATGAGCGGGTCCATTTAAAGTACTCATACTTTATTTTTCAGATAAAGACGTGTCTAATAGATACACAGTAGTAGAAGAAAAAAGCATCCTGTCTTTTTGAATTATGCTTTTTAGAACATCCATTTTTTTGTCTGAACTACCCTTTTTTCTAACAAAAAACGGAAAACTGGATTTATTGTAACTTAAATCAGGCATGTCAAATTTGCGACATTGTGCAATGTATCGTGACTTTTTCCCCATTGCCGGCAATGGGGCGGGTGCGGTTTCGGTGTGACGCATTCGGCCCGCAGGCCGGCAGTTTGACATACCTGTGTTAAATGAAGAGCAAACAGCCTCTACCATCTAATATGAAGTTACTAATTTGACTGGATGATTTCATAATTACGCAGCTGTGCATAATGGGGGCTAATTTGTTTTCTAAGAATTTTCTGAAATATTTTATTTCAGAAAAAATACTTGCCATACTAGCTTCTTTATTTTCTCGAATGTCCAATTTCTATTCCTGAATCATCTTTTTACTTCACTAGCATGCAGTTGACTTTCACAGATAGCCACAGCCTAATTTGTGAACTCTATTTAAATTTATGCTTTACAGCAAAACCTATTGTTACAGTAGTGAATATCAAATGTAGAAATTAAAAAAATCTGCTGCCAAACTCACTTAACCAGTGCTTAATTTTATTTTTTGTGCTAATTTGTTACTGTAATTTTTAATGGCACTAAATTTCTATCCCCCCCATCCTGTCTACAGGAATAAATGGTGCTAGAAATGCATTTAAATACAATAAATCATTTAGAAGATCTTCCAAACAATGTAGTTTTCTGTCTTATTTCGTAATTTAATGCTGCAAAACTCTAGAGTAGATTTTGTTTCTCATTTGTTGTCAGTGACCAATTCTGAAGTGATGTGTTTTATATTCATGGCGGAGAGAAGTATTAATAGTTAGTAGTTTTGCTGGCTGTATATTATCCTGTGAATTAATAGTAGGAAAAACAATGGAAGATAATTGCTGTATTGTCCTCAATTCTTTGTTTTTAAGTTTCTTAAATGGATCTGGTTGGAGACAGGTACTAGATTCCTTCTCCCAATCCATTTAGAGTTCTTATATCCTGTATTCATGTCATAATGTACGTATATACAGATTTATCTTTCAGAACAAAAAGATATTGTATGGTATTTTTATCTCATGCTTCTGTATTCCAATTTCCAAATTGAATACTTAAGAATTTCAAAGAATAATTGTCATAATAAAACAAACTCCTAATGGCAGAGAACAGTACCTATTTTCCAATTTTTATTTAAGGGATCCGTTTGATAAAATTGCAAATTTCTTAACTTGATAGAATTCTTAATTGAATTAGAACTACAGTATTACAGATTTTAAGATTAGAACTACAGTATTACAGATTTTAAGATTGCATAACTCTAAAATTATGTAAATCAGCCACTGAGCCTCATTAACTCTACAAAGGATTTTATTGTCCTAGGAACCCAGAATATTGGAGAGTTGTGATTGGTTTACATCATCTTTATAAACCTCATTCTCACACCATAAGTCGTCGGGTGAAAAGTATCATTGTCCATTCTGGTTTCAAGTGGGACAGCTATGAAAATGATATTGCAATGTTTAAACTTGTGAAGCTTGTTGAGTACAATAAATATATTCAACCTATCTGCTTACCTCACAATTCTCATCTAGTGACTGATAAGAATCCATGTTACATAAGTGGATGGAGAAACAGAAAGAAAAAAGGTAATTATTTAATCTTTCTGCAAATAATATTTCATGAACTAGGAAAGCTTTCATATTTTAATTCAAGTAATCTAACTTATTATGGAGAACAGGGTTGGGCAGTATTTAAGGGGTTGAGAGCTATGCTTCCTTTCAGCCTTCAAGAAAATCTGTGATGCCATCACTAGGAAGGATTGGGCTGATTCTTAGTCCTTCAGGGCAGTTCAGGGAGCCAGGAGGCCTGTGGAAAACAAATTACTCCCACTGCTAACATTAAATCTCCATTCTTTAGGCTATTGAGATGACAGGGACAACTTTTTATAATGTAAACTCTTGTCTGTCTACAGTATTAATATAAATTTCAGCTTTAGTCTACACATCAAACTAAATTAAATCTCATTATCTGCTGAATTACTTTATATTATAGATGTGAAGCAAATTTTCTTTTGGCCAATGATTCAAGCAAATTGATATGAGTGCTTTCATATTAGGGTTATGAAATGTTATGAAGTATAAAATTATAGGCTAGGAAAGAAAGCCCAGAAGAATGAATAATTTTCATATAATCTACATTAAATCATATGTATTTAATCATGTTCCTTTCCATTATATTCAATATTTAGTGACAACTTCTAGAGATGCTCTTGTGCCTGCATACTTCTCAGGCATATTTGTTTTAAATCAATTGCTCCAGGGATTGTGAGCCTCACTATTTTGTTCTGGTTTCCTGATATAGTCAACATCAAGAAATTATCACATGTCCCATATAGTCAGCTGAACAGATCCATCTGTTGTTTTGTAGGTAAAGAGAAGAGTAGTAGACTTCTGGGGAAGAAATGGCGAATTGAAACCAGCTACACTGAGAGCGGAGGCAATGACTGCAGTGGAATGAAGAGCTGGTGAAGGGACCGGCTGTTCAGGTTTCCTCTCTGAACAGGAGAGCACTTTGGAATGTCCACATGTGCTCCAGACAATTGCAAGGAGACCATCAGCCGACGATCTCTAGCAAGTTTAAAGCGCTGGGAGATGAGGGTTTGTCATCTTTGCCCAAGATGGCATTTTTTTCAAATTACACTGGATGTCCTTTCTTAATCGCTTTTGGAAATTGCTTATTAACTCTTTTTCAGATATTAAGAACCTACAGAAAGGCACCTTTTACTACACTGGATGAGTTTTCTTCAATCCTTAGCAGAAGAAGATTTAAATACAAATATAAGTAGTTAAAAAACCTTTTGGGTAACAACCTGCAAAAGGACAATTAGAATGTAGATTATAAATGGACTGAGGGTCCAAATTGTTTCGAAATAAAAATTTTAAACTAATTTTAAGAAACCTTCCCATGATAAAATGCTGTTGTTTATGTATGTATGTATGTATGTATGTATGTGTGATTTTTGAAGGTTGGACACTAGCAGAAACCAGAAGGAACTAAAGGACAAGAACGCTTAAATTAGAATGGAACAAAATACTTTAATATTGGATGTATTGAAAGATGAATCCAGAAGTTGATTTTAAAAGTGTCTGCGATTACAGATAGACTTCGACTTATGACCACAATTGAGTCCAAACTTTCTGTTGCTAAGCAAGGCCATTAGATGAGTTTTCCCCCATTTTACAACAATTTTTGCCACAATTGTTAAGTGATTTACTGCAGTTGTTAAATGAATCATGCTGTTGTTAAGCGAGTCTGGCTTCCCCAATGACTTTGCTTGTCAGAAGTTGGCTGGGAAGGTCACAAGTGGAGTTTACATGACCCTGGGACAGTGCAACTGTCATAAATACATGCCAGTTACCAAGTGCCCAAATTTTGATCATATAACCATGGGGATGTTTCAACAGTCATAAGTCTGAAAGCTAGTCATAAGTCACTTTTTCAGTATCATTGTAACTTCAGATGGTCACTAAATGAATTGTAAGCGAAGGACTGCCTATATAGATAAGTGTTTGAAAATGGTATGGAAGAGAAGTTTTATAGGCTGTGACTGAGATTGATTTGAAAGTGGATTCAAAATCATTGGTTATGTGAATGGTATGGAAGGAGATGCTATACTGGATGTACAAATTAAACTGACTGGTATCTTAACAAACCAAAAGAGACCTGGATAACTTTTTTATATTGGATTTACAAAAGAAGCTAATTTTATGAGAAGGGATAAAGAAAAAATGAGAATAAAGTTCTAGGACTATTATTTCGGGACCGTCAAAAGTAAAGGGAAGGAATATAAAGTTAGTTTATTTGATCATGGTTAAAAATGGACTTTTGCTCATCAGAACTCAGTGATGAGGCTCTAAAGATTTGGTGGTAGATAACATGATATAGGGAGAAGAAATCTTGTTGAATTTTACAAGAAAGTGATAAGTTACTAAAACTTGTTATGGGGAAGTAATTTTCTAAATTTTTCTTTTTATGAACTATATTATTTTTCCATTTTCTATTTTTTCCTTCTTTTTTCCCTATTTCTTTTTCTAGCTTGTAATAGATCTTATCTTTTTAATAGTAACACTCAGTAACATTAAAAATAAGAGTAACCTGTAGTTGGTGAGCTGCACTTTGATTTTGTCAAGGGACTATTTTTCTAGATTGGGATGGGCCACCTTTAGTCTCCATATCAATACTTTAAATACTCTTCAGATATTTATAAGTTTGCATTGCTGAAACGTAGTGGCACATTGTGGATTTGGATGGCATTGGTTTGAAAAACCAGTGGGCTTAGGTTTTAAGAAATATAAAATATATTTCTTAGGATTAATGAAGTAATACACCCAAAATTTTGTTTTATGTTTATTGAATTCCCCAAAGAATATGTTAAAAAAAGGTGGATATTAGATTTCTTCTGTTGGCATTGAAATAAATTTGAGACCTCTTTGACTCAAAAGGCAGCCAGCTATAGATGCCTTTTGGTTTCAAACAGTAAAGGTTAATACAAACTATATTTAGAGAAAGAAAATAGAATAGAAAGTAAAAAATAAAGGAAAAGGAAAAAAGAAAAGAAAAAATATGTAAAGAAGTGACTTCCAAACTGCATCATAGGTATAAACAAATTTAATGATTCTTCACCTCTATTAAAGTTACAAACAATTAAACATTATATTCCTTTCTTTTACTTCTAACAGTCTTAATCTTCATTCAAATGTTTTAGGATTTGATTTTTCAATTCTTTTTAATCTCATCGCAAAAAGGCCTTTAGGTCTTTTACATACTTGTTTTTTAAAAGCCAGTAAGGGAAAAAATATTCACGTCACTTTCTTGGTTCATCATTTGTATTTCTCTTTTGATTTTTAAAATATCAGTTTCTTTTGTATATCTAGTGAGAAATCATTTTCCAAGTTTTTCTTTTGGCCTGTCATTTGTAAATCCACTTTCAATATCTAACTTGTTCTGCATTTCTTCAATTTCAATTTTTAAACATAGTCCAACCACAGAGGCAGACACCATGACTGACACTGTTGATATTGTGGCTACTAATCTCTGGTTCCATTCTTCAAAAGTCTCCTTTAATATTTTGAATGTTATAATGTTTTGCATCATTTTAATTGATAGCTTTGTGTTTTCCCCCCTCTGCCTGGAATCTTTAGTTCCCTCTAGTGTCCAATTTTTAAAAACATAAAATTATTTATCTTCATTATGACTTGCAAAACTAGAAAAGATCTATTTCCCATGGCTTCTTTGTTCTTTATAATTCCAAAATCTTATGTTTCTAAATTCCCAATTTATCTGGCCCCCTTGTTCATTTATAACTTTCTAAAGTCAGTCTTATTTAGTTTTTGCTGTTTATTACAAATTATTTAAATTTTTAAGCTTATGATTAATTTTTTCTTTCATTCAAGATTGAAGAGAACTCACCTGATGTTTTCAAACTAATCATTCCAAATGTCTCTAATAGCTTAAAAGGAATTAAAAAGCAATTTTTGAAAGAGATTAGAAAATGAGGTTAGTAAATTTAGTGTCTTTTAAAAGGTGCTGAGCACTATTGCAAGCAAGATGGCTATTCCTGTCATCTTCTATTGGTCACACCTACAAGATACGAGGAGTTGTCTGGAATATATGTGGGTTATCTCCCGTCTTCTCCTTCATAGAGAATACAGGAGCAGGTCTACTTACCAGTTCTCCATTGTTTGCCACAGTTGTCAACTCTGCTTTTGCAAAAATGTCTTCAGTCAATCTTTCCCCAATTTTTATTTTTATTTCTAAAAATGAGATTGCCTATGTTTTTATAACATTTGAAATATAATGCTAAATTTAAGGATGAACTAAACTTATATTGAAACTACCTGGTTCTTTTTTATAATTTTTTTTTATCCTTTTATGTTTCATTTATTGTAATGACTACAATGTATGTAGGTAGGGAGTTCTACAGAAAAAAATTGAATGGGTGAAAAAATGCTTTTTCATCATCTAATGATTTGAAGGCTTAGGGTATTATGCTTAGAAAATAGTACTGGGTCTAAAACTCTCAATATTCTGTATTTTCCATAAGGCTTGTCTTACTACAAAATTAGCAACTGGGAATCTGTAGCATTTAAAAACTTAACAGCTTTATGATGGTACTAGTTTTTATAACCTGCAGTTGATTCTATGTGATATTCCAAGTTATGTCCTTAGCAAAGAATTTGTGTCTATATTTGTTGTTTGAGAATAGTAAACATGATTAAGAAAAATGAAGTGCAATAAATGTAAATAGTGATAATTACCCACTGGTAGTGGCCTTTGACCTTTTTGTAAGTCATGTTCATTGCCTAGCATTCAGTGAGGTAAACTGAAGTCTTTGAACACTTATCCCATAATAGATTTGTTGTTTTAAAGTTACCGGGTTTTTTTACTGCTCCTTTGGAAACTCTATAAAGAATGCTGAACACAGCATACTTCCACATATTTTGTGTTTTCTTCACAGACAAAATTAAAATTGAATTACAAGAAGCTCGAGCAATTATTATTCCACTATATGTCTGTAATAAATATGAATGGTATAAAGAAAAATTACCAACTGATATGATTTGTGCCTCTTCATCAACAAATAGCTGTATGGTAAAATAAAAATATTTTTACAAGTTTTAAGTGTATAATATATAATGTCATTTGGGATTTCAGCAGTGCCTAAATTGAATAATAAGTAGATAAATTAAAAGAATTTGCGAATTCATGTATTTTTTTAAAGAACTTTTTTTTAATAAGGAACATCTCAAACTGATTGGTTCTTTTCAATTAATTACAGGTAGTCGACTTATGACTACAATTGTTCGCAAAATTTCTGATGCTAAGTGAGACATTTGTTAAGTGAATTTTGTCCCATTTTACAACCTTTCTTGTCACATTTGTTAAGTGAATCATTGCAGTTATTAAGTTAGTAACACAGATATTAAGTGAATCTGGCTTTCTGATTGACTTTGCTTGTCAGAAGGTCGCAAAATGTGATCACATGACCTTGGGATACTGCAATCCTCATAAATAAGTTGTTGGCAAGCATCTGAATATTGATCACCTGGCCATGGGGATGCCGCAACAGTCGTAAGTGTGAAAAAGTCTTAAGCCACTCTTTTCAGTGCTGCTTTAACTTTGAATGGTCACTGAACGAACTGATGCAAGTCGAGGACTCAACTCTTAGCCTTGAATTGGCTTTGTATCAAATGCAGATGGGATCAAATGCTCTTATTTCTTATAGCCTAGGTGCAAATTCACTATTTTGAAATTTCTCGGTAAACTTTTGTATTCATATAAAATTAAAAGTTTGAAAATATTAAGTGGCAGAGGAACTTTTGACATATAAAAATTTTGTATTTTCATTAATTTTTTCCTATTTTTTTTGTTTCTTTGAAGTGTTTTGTATTTGAAGGATCTTTAATTTTTCTGTAGTTTTTCTTAAGCACAGCCACTATATTGTTTTTAACATTTTTTATAATAGTTTTATAGTCTGATAAATGTATATGTCAAGAAATATCAATATTTCTAAATTGAATAAATAATTGAATTTTTAAAAAAACTATTTTTTGTTAGTTGAACAACCTATCTGAACCAAGCGGAAGATTACTATATAGTACTTCAGAATTTTAGAATAACATGAACATTTGACTTTTTCCCTATTTTTCATATTCTAGGAAGATAGTGGTGGACCTTTGATGTGCTATTTCCCGAGCGTATCCCAATACTATCTGATAGGCATCACAAGTTTTGCCACTGGCTGTAATCAAGATAAATATCCAGGACTTTATACGCGTACAGTGAGTTACAGAAAATGGATAGATTTTCATCTTCATGATAAAACCACAACCACAGTGAACATCCAAAGTATTCTAGTTCCTTTAACTATGGAATGGATAATCTTTCACCTATAGACATGTTCTTAGATGGGGTATTTAACATTTCTGCTAGTTTGTTTAAACCATGTCAACTAATGGAGTTTGTAATCTATGACTTTACTATCCCAACTACACTTGAGATATATTTGTAATCATTTTAGTTAGCAGGTCACATTTTTAAATATTTATGTATCATTGTATTAAATGCCTGAAATTTTGTTATGCTGTGTGATAAAAATTAACTGATGTTTTCTGTTGGCTTATAGAAACCATACACTAAGTTGAAGCTTAATATGATATATGAATTACTGTACTGTTGCAAGATTATACCAAGTATAATATAGTAGCTTGATCTGTCTTCTGATACCTCTAGTAGGATTAGCTCTAAATAGGGTTGACGATGCTTCTGTCCATCAAAATTGGAGAAAGTTCTTTTTCTTAGTTTGCAACTCCAAATATTGCTATCTTGTTGCTGTAGAACATTTGGAAGAATGGATCATAGGATATTATTGCACAGATAATTTCCTCTCTTTTATATCAGTGGACTTCTGGCACATCAGACAATACTTGTGGATTAAAGAAGTTTATTTGAAAGAAGCTTATGCTGGATCCAATCCAAAATCACCTTTGACATACCAGTGTAATATTTCGTCTTTTATGTTTAGCTAATTTAGAGAAAAAATTATAAAGACCTATCTAAAAATAAGTTTTTGTTATGAGCCCTGTAAACATTACATATTAAATTCATTAATACATATAGTATGAATGAAAATGGTAAGAAGAATGAGAGAAAAATATGAGAATGTGAATTACTGCATGAAAGGCTATGAAAAGGCAAGTGTCATGGCATGTACTATAGAAATGCCATGTATAAATGAATGGAATATGAGTATATGTGAAGTCATGGCACTGAATTAAGTGAATAGCATTGTTCAAATTAGTGACAAAAATATTTTGAGCCTTTAAAAACTTAAAACGTTATCAAATCAGACTACCATAGAATAATATAAAACTATCCGTAGAATAGAGAAATTAACATCTAACAGTCCCATGCTGTGAGATATTCTTGTACCTTTAATAATTTTTGTCTAAATTGCAACGTTTGTCATTGATTGTTATGAGGGTTGAATGAAAAGTATACCTCCATCTCCCTAACCTTAATTTATATATGGATATTTTAATTAAAAAGAAATAATTCTTGAAATCAACTATTTTGTTACTTGTATTTCCTGTATTTACTTTTGCACATAATCACCACCATTTGCTACATACTTTGGCCAATGACAGACAAGCTTCTTAAAGTCTACTTCTTCAACCAGATCTGAAATTCTTCCTACATACTCAAACAGTTGCCCATGAAGGTATATCTTCAATTATGGAAAAAGATGGAAGTTGCATTGTGCCAAAAATGGACTGCATACTGGATGGGGTTAAACAGTGAGATCAAATTTGCAATTGCCTTCTGGGTGATGAGATCTAGTGCTGTCATGCTGCAGCAAAATTGCCTTTTGTTTGCTTCCAAATTTTGCTTAATCCATTTCAAATTGTTGAATGTTGTAATACAATATTCTGAGTTGACAGTAATGCCAGGTTCGAGGAAATCCATATGAATAATGCTAACTACTCCCCCTATAACTATGAATTTTCCTATCAAAGCCTAGGTTTATTTTTGTAATATTATGGGAAATGTGCAAACATTGCACATTTGTGCAAGCCTTTCAAAATTGAAAAATATCAATCTGATCTACAAGCTCCTGTGATACTCCAAGCATAATAGCAGTTTCCCTTTGCATAATCTGTTAATCGTCCTTAATCAGTTCATAAGACTGTCGTATGAAATTTACTGGTTGCTGTCACAGATTGTCCTCTTCATTCCTGATTGTACACATCAACATTTGCTGACTCCACACCATTATATATTTGTCCAGCAGTGCATAATACTCATGTTAACACAGTCAACACCATAAGCGTGTATTCAGCAGTGAATTTCAACTGAAGGAACTCCTTTGGCAGACAAAAGTTTAATATCAGTACATTGCTTAAGCATATTAATAAGCACACATTAAAGGCTTTCTTTTCACAATCTTGCCTCAAAGTTTCCAACTGAAGAGAAAGAACAACATGTCAAACATGTCAAGAGTTTCTAGCACATCAGAATTGCCATTTGTTGGTAATTTAATTTCATTCAATCCTTGTACTGTGTAATGGTGAGATCTTTCTGCAGGAAATCTAATCTGAGAGTAATAAATCAGCTTTGAAAGCATTTCAGATGCCAAACACATTCACAAGTGCCTCTGAGCAGTTCAGGGCTCAATACTGGGTCTTCGGTTTGGAAATATCAGATAATCAGAATATTTGAAGACACACATGAAAGCCAAGCCTACCAGAGTTACATGGTATGCAAGCATGCTCAGTGAAATTTCATGGAACAATTTTGACGTTATCTACTAGTTTGCTATTATAGACATGTTAACTTGTACCCAGAAAAGCAGCCAAAAATGTTTCCATTACAGAGCTTGCTATTCCCCTGGAATTTTGACCCCATTTCTTTTTGGATTTTGTCTGCCACTATGTCTAACATGATTAGACATACTGGTCCAGAATGCGGCCGCGCGGGCGGTGTTGGGAGGGACTCGTCGCTCCCATGTAACACTGCTGCTGCGCGAGCTGCACTGGTTGCCAGTGGCCTTCCGGGTGCGCTTTAAGGTGTTAGTCACCACCTTTAAAGCGCTCCATGGCATCGGACCTGGTTATCTCCGAGACCGCCTTCTGCCACAGATTCCCTCCCATAGACCGGTACGCTCCCACAGAGTGAGTCTCCTCAGGGTGCCGTCGGCCAAGCAATGTCGGCTGGCGACCCCCAGGGGGAGGGCCTTCTCTGTGGGTGCCCCCACCCTCTGGAACGAACTACCCCNACATGGCTTTTTCAGCAAGCGGGCCTGGCCTAGGGAGGATTTTAAATCGGGTTCTTAAGAGTAATTTTAAATAGCACAACTTTAAATATTCGGTTTTAATTGGTTTTACTTGGGTGGGGTTGTAAATGTGTTTATGTTTTTTAATATGTTGTGAGCCGCCCTGAGTCCCGTTGGGAGAAGGGCGGGATATAAATCAAATCAAATAAAATAAAATAAAAATAAATTACAAATAATGAGAAAGTACACTCCTTTGCCTTGTCCCTTATTAAAAAGCTTGCAGCATTCTATTTACTTGTGATCTTTTCTATTTGCTACTAATACAGTATATGCTTTCCACGCAAGTTTTGAATTTTTCTCCTGGATTCATTTTTGCCAAGGGCGTCCACTAGGAAAATCCAGTCCAAATTGTCAAAGGCTTTGAACACATCTACTATTACTGTCTGATTATGAAGTATCTTCTCAATTAAAAAGCCAAGATTGCCATGAGGAGTCATGAGACCCATATTTAATGAGATGAATCTGTTTCAGAGTGAGTCAAATCCTTTCCTTTAGGAATCAAGGGAATACAATCTTTTTTATTTCTAAATTAATCTGACTTTTCCAACAACAGTGAGGGAAAAAATTATTTGATCCCCTGCTGATTTTGTACATTTGCCCACTGACAAAGAAATGATCACTCTAAATTTAATGGTAAGTTCATTTTAACAGTGATAGACAGAATAACAACAAAAATAATCCAGAAAAACTCATTTCAAAAAAGCTATAAATTGATTTTGGCCAGGCAACGAAGTGCCGCCAAAAACAGTGGAGTGTGTGCGCGTCTGCCTCGCTGTGTTTGGCGGCGCTTCGGTGTCAGCCAGCCAGCCAGCCACCTGAGATCAGCTGCAGCACGTTGTGGAGAGGATGGCTGAGGTTTGGGGGATGGTCTATCCCCATTCATAGTGTGGCCGCCGTCCAATCGCTGCGCCAATGCAGCGGCAGGGAAGACAGAAGGCAATCCTGCCCACCAGGTCAGCCTGGCGGGGCTGGGGTGGGAAACCGAGCAATGCCAAAAACAGTGCTTGGAGCCTCCAGGAACTGCAAGGATCTGCGGGCGCCTTTTGCAGTCATCCTGCAATGTGCAGCCTCTCCCTGTAAGCAATTTGACTCGCCCAGGGTCAGGTTGACTGTCGTGGGAGCTTGTCCTACATGTGCGGCAGAGCTGGAAGATGGGGATGGGCCACACCTCCCGCAATGGCCAACTTGACCCTAAGTGATCCGGATTGCTTCAACTGTGAGAAGCATTGTCTAAGGTTTCCACCGCCCAGGCTTCCTGAAGGTGATGGGCACCGCAGCCCACTGCAGCTGAAGAGTTTAGTTAAGCCACAAAGTTGAATGCACATGTAAAGTAGTGGTACACCCTGAGCGAGGAAGCAGCATGAGCTTTGAGGGTGCGAGTGTCTGTATTTCCGCGGCTCATGCACAGAATTCACACCGCGCCTTCCCATTGGCATCCAAGGAGGCTAATTGTGGTAAATACAAATAATTTTTTTGAAAAATAAAAGGACCTATTACAATATTGATGATCAATGTAAATGAAAAGGCAGTTTCCAAAGCCTTCCTCACCCACCGAGGGAAACCTGAGTCTCCTGGGGGGGGGGGGGGGCACCAGCCGGGCTGGGCCTTGTGATGAAAAAATAAGATATCCCCTGAAAATAAGCCCTAATGGGTCTTTTGGACCAAAAATAAATATAAGACCTGGGCTTATTTTCTGGGAAACATAGTACTTAGTGGCCTGGCTCCCTTTCCCATATGCATCAATCAGGAAACTAGAGAGATGAAGCATCTATTTCTGAAATTACCTCTGAGAAGCACCACCTAGTTTTCACCTGAGTGACGTGAATCGAAGGTGCCAAATCTCCGTTTGGTTTCCATCACTCCTTTCTTGGACTTTTGGGGAGGAAGAAAGTTGAACTGGAAGGAAGTTGAACGAAAACTAGACGTATTCTGGAAAACACAGATTTATCATCACCGGATTGCCGAATTCAACAAAAAAATAGGTATCGGTCTGCCGAACCAGTGCAAACCGGCTGAATCCCACCACTGGTTAGAAGCTCTGAAACTTTTTTTCTAAGAGAAAGTAATAATAGAACTCCAGATGGATGCCTTGAATGCATTCCAGGGATTGGAAGGAAGTACTTGAGTGCAGTGTAGTCAGTGAACAAATAACATCCACAGGCAACCCTTTAATGTGATAGTTACCATGTTTATGCTCCAGCCACTGATACAGAAGAGGAGGTTCATGAGTTTTATGGCTGAGTGCAATCTGAAATTGCACTCAGAACATACAAAGAAAGATGAGTTGAAAATGGTGAGGAAAACATACAAATAAACAACCAAAGAGGAGAACAACATCTTAGTTACTGTGTATCCATCACTGCTAAGAGTTTTCAAGAATCAAAACAATGCCTACTGCATATACTTGCATTTCACCAATTAAGTACACAGAAATAACTGAGTATGAGATCAAAGAGCTCAGCAAGGATGTGGCCATGGGCTGGTTATTGAACAGATCACAAGTTGTTCTTGTGCCAGTTCCACATTCAACTAAGCTAGAAGAAAGCTAGTGGCTTCCACAATAGCCAGTTTTGATTGACCATATACCTTCCATTTTCCAGCAGAACACCAAGAATCATTTAAAATCCTGAACTCTGTGAAAGGGAACCAGTGAAATGAAATTTAAAAAAAAGTTGATGACTGTGAAGAGAGACTTCCAAAGACCACTAAACAAAAGTAAGCAAACAGGATGTCAGAACAATGGCAATTGCCAAGAAGAAAAGGCAAAGCCTTTATACCAGAAGGTATAAAAATCCACCACTCCCAGCAACATGTGGTCAGCTTTCCCAGAGCCACATTTCTGTCTGGCTCTGCTCTTCAATAAACTACAACCTTCTTTCTAAAGCAGTCTCCATTTTGTTTATTCCCAGCTTGGACTGGACCCTGGTAAAGATTTTTTTTTCTACAAACGTGTGGGGAAGCTTATCACATCCACCTTCCCTAGCTTTATGCCCTCTAAACCAGTGGTGGCGAACCTTTTAGAGACCGAGTGCCCAAACTGCAACCCAAAACCCACTTATGCATCGTCGAGTGCCGGGTGGGTGTGGCCCATTGGGTGGGCGTGGCCCATTGGGTGGGCGTGGCTGCGGTGGTAACGGCAGACTGGGTGGGACTAAAAAGTTCAATCAATCAATTCCAACTTTGCAAGATCTTTTTTTTTCCCGCGAGAAGTTGAAATTGACTGAACCTTTTTTTTTTTTTTGCACACGGCGGCGGAGGCCTAAAGCGAAAAGGTTTTATAAAACCCAGCTGAAGGCCTAAGACTGGGGCGACAGCGCGCGTGCCCACAGAGAGGGCTCTGAGTGCCACCTCTGGCACCCGTGTCATAGGTTCGCCACCACTGCTCTAAACACTTGGCTTACAATTCCCACCACTCCCACTGGACAGGTCTGATTAAAGGCGCCTCAAGGAGGGAAAAGCTGGTTAAGCCGTCTTAAAGGGGGATGTAAAGAGCAAATTTCTCCATGTTCTCTGTACGCTGCCTATGTCTGGCAACTATGGAAAGCTTGCGGTCAGTTATCTTTCTCCTCCAGAAGAGATAGGTAGGTAGATAGGTAGGTAGGTGTGTGGATGTGTGCGTGTGTGCGTCCGTCCAACCGACAGCGGGAGTGGCGATCGCGATTCCTCCTCCCCCCCCTTCCATTCTATCCACCTTGCCTCCCGTTGCTGCGTCGCAAAAGCCCTTCCAGGCGGAGTCCGCGGGCGCTTCCCCGCCGTTGGGCATCCTTCCTGCCGGGAAGGAGGGCGAGCGAGGGCATTCGGGCGGGCGTTTTTTTTGGTTTTTTTTTTTCCTTTCTCGTCCGGATCGACGATGCAGAGGCGGTTTGGCGCGCCGCTCTCTTCCTTATTCCCGCTGCTTTTCCTGTTGAGTGAATCCCCGTCCAAAGCCTTGTCCTCTGTGATTCCTACAACCGGTAAGGCCGCCTCTTCCCCTGGAGAGAGCTCAATGCGCCACGCGGGCGGCAGCCGTCGAAGGAGCGCGACCCAACCACTCCCGCCCTCAAGCCGCCAAAGGCACGAGCGTCGCCGCCGGTCTTTCCCAGAGAACTACAACTCCCGGCAACCTCTCCTTTTACAAGAGCGCCTCGCGGTCGGCGTGCAAATCTCACTATGGGTGCAACTCCGCAAGCGGGGAGAGCGGGGAACGGGCTGGTTGGGTGACTTGCGTAGCTGGAAATCGCGCCCATCGAGGCTGATGGACTCTTTTAAAAAGATTGAATGGGAGGCTTCTTCGTCCTTGAATGGGAGGCTTCTTCGTCCTCGAAAGCAGCTGATCATTGCAAACAGCCATAAAGGCTGTCCTGGGCAGGGCGGCGGTGGGTGCCCTGGAGATTTGCTCGGATTCCCGACCAAAAGAAGCAGAGCCTCAGGCGGATAAAGGGATGTTTGCAGGGATATGAATAGGAATATGGGGGTGGGGAGATTAAATAGAAAGGCATCTGAAATAAGGAATTCGCGGGGAGGGAGGGAGAAGTGGAGGTGCATTTCAAGCTGCCTGTATTTTGCACACATCAATCAGAATAGAGATGGAAGGGACTGTTAAGGTCTTCTAGTCCAACCCCCTGCTCAAGCAGGAGATCCTATTCCATTTCAGACAGGTGGCTGTTCAGTCTTTTCTTAAAAACCTCGAGTGATGAAGCACCCACAACTTCTGACATTAAGTTGTTCCACTGGTTAATTGTCCTCAGTTAGGCAGTTTCTCCTTAGTTCCAGGTTGCTTCTTGCCTTGATTAGTTTTCATCCATTGTTTTTGTCCTGCCTTCTGGTGCTTTGGAAAATAAGTTGTCCCCCTCTTCTTTGTGGCAGCCCCTCAAATATTGGAATACTGCTGTCAGGTCACTCTTCACCATCAGAATATTATCAACAACATCAGACATGCCTCTGGTTTAAAATAAAGGCTGGCTGTATCCATAGTGCACAACCATCATCTTAGCGCCTATTGCACACGTGCCGTTGCTGATCAAGGGGTTTATCCTTAAAACATGCACTGTTGGAAGTCTTTTTTTGTCTCCCTAGATTGTGGAACAAGGCGAGTTGTGGATGACATAGTAACAGGGACACGAATTGTTGGTGGGCATGATGCCCAGCTTGGTGGATGGCCATGGCAAGTTAGTCTTGAGCTTTATCGTTTCGGTAAAGGATTTGTTCATGTATGTGGTGGATCATTAATTAATCACAACTCGGTGTTGACAGCTGCACACTGCATTAAAGAATGGACGTATGTATTGTCTTCCATTTTAAAACTATTCTTGTCAGTATAGAAGAAAAAAAAGCTTAGTTAGCCTATATTGAATTTAGAAATACATTTTTGAATCAATCTTGACCTCTTGAACTTGTAATAAAATATGAGTGTTAGAACAATATATGTTACTGACATTAACTTTTATTATCCCAAACCAGTTCACAATGAGATTAGGTGAGAAATAGCTCTGCAAAGCATTACATTAAAAAGCTTAGCTAAATAGGCACTTTTTGTTTATGTATTTATTTGTTTAGTTAATTCTATCATACAATAGGTATGAACAAAAGCGATATCAGTGCATTAGATAGTAAGACTACAGCTGAGTAAAGTCAAAATGTGTGGGGAACGATAAAGCAGCCAGAAAAACATTGAAAGAAAAATAGTCTGGAGAAAGCTGAAGCTAGAATCAGGAGTCTTCAAACTCGGCCCTTTTATGACTCATGGACTTCAACTCCCAGAATTCCTCAGCCAGCATTAAGAGATTTCAGATGGGAGTGGGATTCTTAAAATGACATTAATTTAGAGTCATTGCCAGCAGCTTGGGTTTGATCTGATCTGACCATCATGATCATGTTTTGCTAGTTAGAATAAGGTGAAACATTTTCCTTTAGCATGACATAATGGGTGTTTTCTTCTCATTCATATTGGAGGAATGGCTAGATGATTTTGAAATTGTGCCCGTGAAAGGAAATTGTTCCGGGCCTTCATTAGTCCAGAGTCCATGTGCCTCTGGAACCTCTGCCTTTTCCCCATGTGGCCAAACCAAGCTAAACTTCCTTTTTTTTGTTCTTCATCTTTCCCATTTCTTTTTTTTCCTCTTCATAGTTTGCTACTGCCATGATTAGTGCCAGGGATAACCCATCTAGATAAAAAGGAATGAGAAATTACATATTAGTGCTTCTCACCTGGGACGACCTACAGGAGAAGCAAGAAGAAGAGGAGATGGTGCCCTGCTCTTCAGATGCCACATCTTAGGCAGAGGCATGAACTGTGACTGTGAGGAGAAGAGTTAGGTCACCAAATGGAGGAGGAATATCCAGGCCCCACTTTTTTTAGCTTATGATTTAGATCAGGGGTAGACAACCTTGGCTCTTTTATGACTCGTGGACTTCAACTCCCAGAATTCCTGGGCCAGCTTTTTTTAGCTTATGATTTAGATCGTGGGTAGGCAACCTTGGCTCTTTTATGACTCGTGGACTTCAACTCCCAGAATTCCTGAGCCAGCATGGCTGGCTCAGGAATTCTGGCAGTTGAAGTCCACGAGTCATAAAAGAGCCAAGGTTGCCTACCCCTGATTTAGATGCTTCAGAATCACTCAGATAGGGAGGTGAGGGAGTTATCCCCCAAAAAGAGAAGGCAAATAGTCCCTGGATTAATCAAGCTTTTTTAAAAAAAATATATATCAGACTTCCCACAGCTATTCAGGAGGCCTGAAAGAATCGGAAACAAATCGTTCCTCTTCGGATCTTAGCAGCAAAGGTCCTCCCAGGGACTACCAATCTGACCTCATATTTCTCTTCCCAACGAAGAGGAAGGGCTATGAAGAAGTCCACTTATCATTTACTGTCCAGAGCTCCCTCTAAAAGCCAACGTTTAATCTTATTTCATTTACTTACTCAGTTTTATTTTTATTTCCTTTTATTTTTATGTCTATTTTCACTCCTGCATCATTATCCATTTATCAGTCTTTTATTTTTATTCTTATTCTTCATCTTATTCTGCTTCTCTCCTGCTGGGGAGTCTGGGCTGATATTTTGAACACATGATGGATACGCTGCATAAATGGTATTTTTAACCACCGGGCAGAATGTCTTTGGTCTCTGTATCAACTACCCATCTGCCATTGCCAGAGGAGCATAACAACAACAAGGACCTTGAAACTACTTCAAGGAAGACTGAAAAAGACCAAAGATATATCCAAGGAACAATGCAGGAAATGCTCAGAGATATAGAAAGGTGCTAAAAATCTTAAATGCTCTACTATAGAAGAATATATAGACACAGAGAGAGAGAGGATCTCTCTTAGGACAATTTCCTAAGATACATTTTCACGGCTCCAAAGATAAATCTGGCACAACACTGGAAAAGAGACTAGACCAGTGATGGCGTACCTTTTAGAAACCGAGTGCCCAAACTGCAACCCAAAACCCACTTATGCATCGTCGGGTGCCGGGTGGGTGTGGCCATTGGCTGGGTGTGGCCCATTGGGTGGGAGTGGCTGAGGTGGTAACGGCAAACTGGGTGGGACTAAAAAGTTCAATCAATTCCAACTTTGCAAGATCTTTTTTTTCCCGCAAGAAGTTGAAATTGACTGATTGATTGAACCTTTTTTTTTTTTTGCACATGGCGGCAGAGGCCTAAAGCGAAAAGTTTTTATAAAACCCAGCTGAAGGCCTAGGACTGGGGCGACGGCGCACGTGCCCACAGAGAGGGTTCTGAGTGCCGCCTCTGGCACCCGTGCCATAGGTTCGCCACCACTGGACTAGACTAAGAACTGAAACTTGGAGAATATGCAGTAATGGCAAAATTAACAGGGTACGCAACAGATTAACCAAATGTAAGCAAACATAGATTTCAAATATATTCCATGTGATACAGCACAGCAGATGTAAGATTCTAAAGTTTTTTAAAAGCAAAAAGAATTTGACCAAGAAATCAAAATCAGAAATACATGAACATTTGCAAATATTATATAGGAAATTTATTTACCTACAATGTTTTTAATTCTGTTCTTGCTTAATCCATTTCTGGTATTCTTAAATGCCAAAATAGTGAAGACTTTGACACTCAGTTCAGAGATTAAAAAAGCTCTAAAATCCTTTTTTTTAATTGTAAAAATAATTTAATGTATTCTGTTTTTTATAGTTAATTTTCCAACAAGGACATACTGAGCGCTAACTGTATACTCTCAGTAACAACTTTGTCTCTGCATTAATTATTATTTTTCCCTTTGCTTGTTCACTTTCTCTTTATCTAAAAAGGATTAAAAATAATTTTTTAAAAGGTAAGAAAAAGTGTGCAAGTTTCAGGGTCTAGGAAGCTACAATTCTACAGTTGGCTCACATTGATTTCTATAGAGGGTTTTATTCTGTTCTAGGGTCGCTTCGTTTTGGAGAGCTGTGGTTGGATTGCATCATTTTTCTAGATACCACGTCCATACTAAAAAGAGCCGGATCAGGGCTATCATTATGCATTCTAGTTTTAACAAGATTACCTATGAGAATGACATTGTCTTGTTTAAACTGATAGAGTCTATCAAATTCAATCAGTATATCCAGCCCATTTGTATACCTGATGCTCCTGTTGCTCTAAATGATGAGATGCCCTGTTTTATAACTGGATGGGGACAGACAACAGAAAAAGGTGAAATTTTCTTTTCCCTTCTCAATAGTCTATTAAAAATGAGAAAGTTGGATTTAAACCTGAATGTTCCTTTTTGGTGGTGGATGGAAATTATCCAGAAATGAGGTACCAAATTAGACATTCTTAGGGTAAGGTGTCCTCTTCAGTCAAAGTGCAGCTGAAACCCTTAATTGGTGGGTGATATTTGGGGGATTGCAAAAAATGTGTCTTATTCCTAGCCGGGAATAAATTCACTGCCCAGATGTTTGGCCGATCTGTGCCACATGCCTCATATTCCCAATGAACCGAGACACAAACTAGAGAAATCCAGAGGGTTCTTGTAGGTTAAATAGGGTAAGACTGGTGTACTTAAAAAGACTGGTGTACTTTGCCCCTCTCTCCTGCTCTGCATTGCTGTGGCCCCACCTCTCCCATCATTTTCCTGCCCTTGTCAGCCTTTGAGGTAGTCTAAGTCCCGAAACAGACCCAGCAGGAATTCCAAAAATATTTTTTATTGTAGTAAAGTAGAACAGCAGAATTTTGAAAGCCTGGAAGAATTTCTACCCCATCTTAAACTGAGCAACATCAAGGTGGGATTATTCTCCTCATGCTTCCCTCTTTCATAGGTCTGTGCAATTTTTTCCTGCAAATTCTTGGTGGCTCATCCCTTCCTTTCTTATGTACAAAGTCAACTCTTGTTTCCTTTACATCATCTCCCCATGACTTTACTTAAGTGCTGTTGTCCGACCATGCTTTAATTCAAGCACGGCATGCCAAACATGTTTCTGCCATTCCTCCAGATCTCACACTTTCCTAAGCCATGCATCGCTGTCAATGTGTTGCTAAATGTATCCAAACGGCCCGCTTACCTTTCTCTCCATCTTCCTATACCTTCCTCTCCTATATCTTTCTTTCACTGGTGATTGTATCTCTTCCCATATTCTCCTGATTCTGGGATATCTCTGCCTACAACATATATGTTTGGACAAAAGACCTGCAGTTCCAGGTCTGTGTTGAGATGAAATATGTGCTCTGTGTCCATATCAAACATGTTGGTCCAGGCATGGTCTATCCAAAATTCTTTGCACAGACTTTTGAACAGAATATGCTTAACAGCACAGCATTTAACACATGGGGAACAATGCTCCCACCTATTGCAGGTTTTATCCTGGGACTGTTGATGAATAAATTCGGTGACGGATCATAACGGCACATGAACACAACTGCTTCCTCCTTAGTCACGCACATGTAAGAATTGCTAATAAACTTTGTACCCTATAATCATCCTACTCCTCAATCATTCTGTTCTAAAAAATTTTTCCATAAGGATAAAATATTGTTTCTCTACTTCATTCCTGCCTAAAGTGGTTTTGTCTTTTCATAGGAACTGATATATTTACTCTGCTTTTTACAAACTTTTTAACCATTAATTTTATATTCAGAAAATTGGTTCTCCTGCCAGAATCAACTTTCTGTTATAAATATTGACAGAAGAGAATATCTGTATTCTCATATTTTTCTACAGTTAGTTTAACTGTTTTTATCTTTCATGAGAAAGGATCACCTGAGTCTGCATTATAAATTGATGCACCTTTAACCATGTTGTTTTTCTTGGAGCATGTCAATAACATCTTTCTTGCTTTGGGAAGTTAGCTGATCACTCAGCTCAAAGGCATAACCATAGATGCTATGAAGGACAGGTTGCTTAACATTGTTTCAGTCAATTGCACTAC